CCGTCTCGACCGTCGGCGCGGGCTCGAGCGCGCACTTCGTCATGGCCCGCGAGTAGAAGGACTCCTCGCAGGCGCCGAGGAGCGAGTCGGAGACCGTGGCGATCATGTCCGTGCTGTACTCAGAGAGCTCGCGGCCGAGCCGCTTCGACCGCTCGGGGCCCCAGAGGCCCCGGAGCCGCGCCGTCGCGAGGTCCCGCTCGTCGTCGTCGTCGCCTTTGGTCTGCTCGCCGTCGCCCGCGGGCGCGGCGGCGTCGCTCGCGGTGGCTCGGGCGTCGGCGGCCGCGGCGCCGTCGCTCGCGGCGGCGCCGGCGCCGTCGCCCTCGGGCCCGTCGAAGGTCACCGACGATCGGCCGGACTCGCTGGCCCGGAGCTCCCGCGACCGGAAGCTCGACGACGAGGAGCGCGCCGCCCGGAGCCGCGAGCGCGACAGCTCCGCCTCCGCCGGGCCGTCCGCGGCCGAGTCGAGGCCGCAGTTCGTGAAGTCAAAGTCCGCGCTCCTCCAGTCGCCGGCGTATTCCGCGAACATGCGCCGCGCGTTGCGCGCGGGCAGGATCATTGTCGAGTGTGCTAGCTTGCTTTGGGCAGCCTGCTACACCATCGTGCACTGCTTCATCCAAGGTTCAACTAACTCGGTTGCCTCGAGCCTGAGCCTCTCCCCTCGAGGCGCCATGGCGGCGTCGTCGTGTGTCCTCCGGGCGGAGTCGATCGCCGCGCTCCGCGCGCGCGTCGCGGACCTCGACATGCAAGATCGTAGCACGCCGATCGCGGCGTCGTGGCAGTCGCTGGCGCCGGAAACGCTCCTCGAGGTATGCGCGTTTCTCGACGACAAGGCGCTCGGCCGGCTGGAAATTGTCGGCCGCATCGAGGGCATCGCGCGCGTCTGGAAGGCGAAAGCCGACGGCATCGCCCGCGGCTCGCTGGGACCGATGTCGCCCAAACGCATGGTGGCGACGCACGCGCGTTTGCACTTGCTTTTCCCGATCAGAGCCATGCGAGTGCGAAGCCCGAAGATAAATTTCGACGAGTTCGCGTTCTCTGTGATCATATCCTATACTGGCGTCGGCGGCACGTTTCGTGTGTCGCCATTTGAGTACATGCGGCTCATTAGCAACAGAAATGAGATGGGGATTCTTCGAGGCATTGGACAATTCGCGATGCTCCCTTCCGCCGACGCCAGCGGCCTCGACATTTCGGAAAGCGCTGGTCGAATTGGAAGACTCTGACTATGATATTCCAGCGTTCGCAGACGAGCATAATTGGTCCGCGCTTCTGA